GAGACTGTGGCATGGAGGTCTGTGTGATTGGGAGAGACTGTGGCACAGGGGAGAAACTTACTTGTCCCCGCCCAAGATCAGGGCGGTCTTAAGGCCTGTGAACTTGCCCAGCTGTGGAGAGAGAGAGAGAGACAGAGGATTAAGGTGGGGATGACACAGTCCAGCCCACCCAAGTCTCCCTGCTCCAGGCCCCCTGGTCGGCCCAAGCGTCCCTCACTCACCTCCTTGGTGAACTTCATGGTCTGCAGGGCCAGCTCGCGGGTGGGGGAGAGGATAAGGGCTCGGGCCCCGGTCTGGGCACTTCGCACCTTGAGCCGCTCGAACATGGGGATGAGGAAGCATGCCGTCTTGCCACTTCCCGTCCGGGCCATGGCCACCACGTCCTTGCCGTCCAGGATCATTGGGATGGCCTGAGAGGGACAAGTGAGGGGGTGGGTGGACAGGGCCAGCTCCTGCACCTAATTCCACATGATCTAGCGTGTCCAGTCCCCAGGGAAAAAGGCCAGGCAGGGATCTGAGTGCAGTCAAGGGACATGCACCCAGCTCTGACCTTATTCTTACAACATTACCTTGTTCGTATACCCACAAGGATGGGCAGTTCACGAGCCCAGGTCTTCCCACCACTGAAACATTTTTCAAATTGAGTACAGACTCTCCCTCCTGGCCTAATCCTTCTGAGATCCCCAGAATAACAGCATCTCCACTCAGCTAAGCGTCTACAAACAGTAACCGTGAGCCTAGGATAAGAAGGGGGTTCCACTACAATCCCAGAGGTGTGCAGTTCTAATCCACCAGATGCTCTGTGGAAGACGGAGGGACAATCTCCTCCTGTACCAGTCAGATCTGATTTGATGGTACACACACACAAAAAATTATAAAAATTAAAAAAAAAAATGGGGTTCCATGAGCTGCCGCGGCAGGGCCTCCACATCAGGCAGCCCTGGAAAGACTAACGGGGTTCCCACTCTGTCCTTTACTGGGTCTGACTTCTTCCATGTGTAACACGGGGTAGCTCAGTGAAGCTTCAGCCAGGCTAAGAGGGCTGACAGCTGGGTCGAGGGGTGGCTGGCCAGCAGCCCCCCAAAGGAGGCCTCCCCATGCTGGACCCCCAGCCACGTACCTTCCTCTGGATGGGCGTCGGCACTTTGTAGCCCTTCTTCATGATGCCTTTGAACACCGCATAGCTCAAGCCTAGGGAGACATAGGAACTGTGAGCCCCTCATTGACGGACACCCTCCACAGACCCGAGTTCGCATCCCAGCTGTGCAGCTCAAGTGGCCCGGCCTGGCCGTGATTCAGCGTACTCACTGTATCTTAGGGACTGTGACGGTGACTGGTTGCCAGGACTGAGGGGGGACATCTGGAGTCAGTCCGGAAGCACAGCATCCACCAATCACCAGCTATTTGTTATTATTGTCCGGTGTCATGTTTGTTTTTTAACTTTACTCCATTGACAGAGCAAAGTGGTTTCCACTGAACCATTCATATGTGTTTTGTTTAGTGAAATTGACGGTTATCCCTGCAATGTAACAGAACCTTTCTCCCTTCCATCCTTTCTATCCCTTCAGGTCTGCGGAGCTTCATTCCCGAGTGTCACCTGCTTTTTTTTTTTTTTTATATATTTTTAGTTGATTTTCATATAATAATATCTTTATCGTATATTTCATGACAGTTGCTTTTGTATACCTACATTAAGGGCAGGAAATGAGGGAATGAACCTGGATCAAGCCCATCCAGCCTCAGGCCATCTGGGGGATTCTGCCCCACCCACCTTCATCTTGGCGCCTTAACCTCAAATCTACTGTCTGCTTATTTATAAATAAAAGTTTAACTGAGGTACAGCCCTGCCCATTCACTTACTATCTGAGGTTACTTTTCCCTACAGTGCTGAAAAGAGTTACCTTCTGTTCCTTCAGAAGAAGACAAAGGAGAAACAGATTAGAAGACACAATAAACTGTGGTGTGTGGAGCTAGTTTTGAGCCTGGGTCGGAACAGCTTGCTCTAAAGGTTTCTGTGGAACACGAGCACCTGGATGGAACTGAGGAGCTGTTTAAGGAGCCCTGGTGGTGCAGTAAATGAAGTGCTCTGCAGCTAATGCCAAGGTCAATGGTTCAAATCCACCAGCTACTCCACAGGAGAAAGATGGAGCAGTCTGCTTTCATAAAGACTTTGGCCTTGAAGTTTATGGGGCAGGTTCCACTCCGCCCTGCTGAGTCACTCTGAATCCGAATTGACTCGACAGCTGTGGGCTTCATTAGTTTTAGGTGGGGAAGGCACTGCATCTTTCACAGGTCGGTATGAAGGGTCTAGGATTCAATGGCAGAAGGGTGAAGACTGTCTTTGGCATCGACCAGGGTATGCATGAGAGAAGGCTGTTAGAGACTTCTGGGCACTCACCACCCTACTGATTTCTGAAGAAGCTTAGGACATTTTTGTTCTATTAACTGACAACCTGGACTCCTTCTGTAAACTACCTATCCCATTTCTCTGTCAGGATCCCTTTCTTTTTTTTTTTTTTATTGATTAGTAAACGCTTTTTTTACATGTATTTTTATACACACATATACATATGCAAAGACGCATGTGCCAAGGGCAGGGACAACATTGACACGAATGATTAATTCCACAATAAGGGATCTATCTTTCACTTTTCTGTAAAACGCTGGTCTGTCTGATACTTCTCTCAATCTGAATATTCAGATTAAGACAGACTAGGAAGGTTTGGCCATCCACGTCTGAAATAGCAGGCCTCCGAAAACCCTATGGACAAACCTGCTTGCTGAAATTGAGGAGGACCTGAAGCGCTTGCTGCAGAGGGTCAAGGACTGCAGCCTACAATATGGATTGAGGCTCAATGTCAAGAAGACAAAG